GGAGCCCACAGCCCTATAAGGGAAAAAAAAAAAAAAAAAAAAGAAAAGAAAAAAAGAAAGCAGGTAACTCGTTCAAAGGGAATGGAACCAGGTTAGCGTTTCCAACTCAAATGACCCCTCTGGGTTCTGGTCCTCTACCTTTAAAGATCATTTGGGGTGGGGGGCCAGCAGGTGGCATGGTGGTTAAGGCAGCTGGATCCCATGTGGCAGACCCCACTGTTCTAATCCCAGACCTGCTGGCTTGAAAAAAACCCTAGGGGAGGGGTGAGGGGGGAACAGCAGATGGTGTGGTTGGTAGTTAAGGCACTGGATACTCCCACACGGCCGATCACGGTTCAAGTCCTGGACCTGGTGGCTTGCTTTCTCACTTTTCCTCTCTTTCTCTCTGATTAAAAAAAAAAAAAAAAAATTAAAGGATGAAAATAAAATAAAATAAATAATTCTAAAAAAAAACCAGGGTGCATGTGTGCATGCCTGAGATCCCAAGAGGAGAATGGAGGAGAAGAAATTGCAGCATGGCCATCCCCCTGGGGAGTGTTCTCTCGTCTTCCCTCTCTCTATCTCTCTCTCTGGCACATGCCCCATAGAAAATTACAAAAGAAAAAAAAATTCTTTGGGGTGGGAGTTGGGGAGGGTGGCACAAGAGGAGGTTGAGACAGTTGACAGGATTAGACCATCAGTAACACCGCTTTCTGCTCAGTCTTGCTGACGATCTTGGTAGCAATTTGGTTTTCCAGATTTTTTTGTTGTTGTTACTGAAAATGAATTTCTACCCGTCCTCACTCTCAAGGGGTTCTGACTTCTCTCGAAGAGGACCTGGCCTAGGAAAATGTCCCTGGCAAAGAGAGACCTCCAGCCTAAGCCCAAATCCTTAAGGGAAAGTCTGAAACGATCCTTTTCATTGCAGCTTATTGACTGATTTTAAAAAAGAAAAGACAAAAAAGAAAGAAGAAAAGGCTGCGGTTTGCACACCCACACGAAAGTCAAAAACAAGAGGACGAATAAGATGGCTACTTTTAAAACTTCTTTCCCCAGATGGCAGATCTGGTCACCCAAAAAAAAAAAAAAAAAAAAGACGGTTGCAGAGACTCTAAAACGGATCAGTTCCCTTCCCTCTGACCGTGGTGGCCTGCTCCTGCCCACGTGGCTCCGGAGACTGGTACCTCCTCAGTGACATGTGATCCAGCTGACACAAAACATGTGTTTGGCCAAGACAAGCGGTTTAAGGAACTTAAGAAATCCTCGGTGGCCATTTCCTCCCTGTTCCAAGAAGGCGAGGTCGTGATGGGCAAAACAACTAAGAAATATCTCCTCTCCGGGAACCTGCCCTCCCTCCAACCAGGGAACCACATCGGAGCTAAGACACAAGACCAGAACGAAGCAAGTTCCTGTCCTTCTAAATCAGTGGCTCAGATTCACTCCTCCCAGAAATTGCTTTCAATTTCTGCAAACCGAACCCTCCAGCGAAAGCCACGTCGTCTACTAAGTCTCAGTTTCTTCATGAAACGTGCTCTCCCCCTTATGCCCGTGCCTAAGAGAAGGTGGTAAGTTTGGACATGAAAAGCAGCGTTCAAATCAAGACTAGCTGACAGTTCGATCGAACCACACTCAGACACAGGAGATAGGGGTCAAAGATTCGAAGAGGAGCTCTAGGGACATTCCTGGAAGAAACTGAAGGAAAGGGACAAGGATTGGCAAGGATTCGCCCCATTTTATACAACGGAAAACTGAGGCCTTGGGTGCGACAGGCACTCGTGCAAGCTCTGAGTCCTAGGAGGGGGTTCTAAACGGAAGCGGCACAAGGAAGCCTCGCATCTTGGATGCCGAAGGCCGGTGGAGACTGTCCCTCGGTTCCGAGATGTGCAAAAGGGAACCGGCCGGCCCCGCCCACACCTTGCCGCCTGGCCCCGCCCATTCACTTTGGCCACGCCTCGTCCCTCCCTCGCTCTCATTGGCCCAGCCTCCTCAGGCCCGCCCCTTCCCACCTCCC